CCCGTTTAATTTTTTTTTTTTTTTTTTTTTTTCTTATCAGAAAGGGCAAGGTGGTTTCTACTGCTGCTCCCCTGCACCCAATAATCAGAAGGTGAAAACCCAAACACCCAAGTTGTTGAAAATTGCAGTCAGTGGTGTCACTGAACTACTCAGGCTCCTCTCTTCACCATCAACAAACAGGTTTTGCATTTTCTTAAATTGGGGGTATTTCTATTTTCAAGATTTCATTTTTGATTTCCTTAATATTATTATAATGTTTGCTAGATTGGGGGTATCTGATGATGAAGGGGGTGGAGAGCCTTTGGTTTATAATGTAGAAGATGTCCTCAAGATTATCAAGTTAGATTATGAGAAAGCTTATTTTGTTACAGGTAGTGTTGTTTATCTCTTAGTAATAATTAGTACTCTGTCTGTTTTAATTTGTTTGTCTGGTTTTGACTTGGTACAGAGTTTAAAAAAATAAATAAGACTTTTGAGTGTTCGGTTCTTAAACTGAAGATACGTAAAATGTATTCAAATGCGCTTTAATCTTGTGGTTTTAAATATGTCACATGGGAAGTTAGGATTAAAGAGTAGTCGGAAAGAGGAAAAAAACATTCTTTTTTGAAACGGATTAAAAAGGAAGTAGTAAGACAAACAAATTGAAATGGAAGGAGTATATACTTCCTAAATATCTGCACTTCTGAAGCCAACATGTAAGTCGAAACATAAGCACGGACTTGAGTGAAGACTGAAAAAACTTAAAAGAGAGTTTGTTTGATTGAAGTCTTCCATGTAAAATGTTTGTAGCAAGATTTTATTTTTTTGAGTTGTCAAACTGATTTATGATTTTATCATCTTATACTTCACAGTATGAGGTGGGTGATCCACAAATTTTTCTTTGCTTTACTATGTGAAAATCTTTCATTACTTGGAGGACAAAGTTTTCTTTTTTCTGATTGTGAATAATGTGTCAGTTAAAGTTTAAGCCTGTTATTGTGGTTAAAGATAAACTGGTCTTTCACTAATTTAGAGCTTTCATTCAATTTAGGCCTCTTCACCAGTGGAATTTATGCAGAAGACTGTGTCTTTGAAGATCCAACTATAAAATTCCGTGGTAAGAGGAATCATTTTCTATATCGGATGGCACATTATTTGATATTTGCATCACCGTTATGGCAGCACCAGGAAATTTCCTTGCTTATCTGTATAAAAAATTCCACATTTATGTCCCGCACCGCACTCAGTCTTGAAGAATTTTTTAATAAAGTATTAGGCTTCTCAATTCCTTCACATGGTATCATAGATAACCTTTAATAAACCCGTTCTTTTCACTAGTAAGTTTGATTTTCAATTCATGTTTGAAGAACTTTATTATACATACTGATCTCTGCATTTGGAGGTGGCATAAGACATGGCCAGACAATCTACTAATGTGAACTCTGATATTATCATCTATCTGTGCTATTTGCGCATTGAGTGTAAATACCGGCTTCTTTTCCGGTTTTCATAAACATCTTAATTGACAGCTTCTATTGCTGAATTTATTCTATGTGTGACATGTTTGCTTTGTAATATCGCTTGTATTTGCCTCTTTTATCCTGTATCTGTTGCTAGTGTCAGTACTTTAAACATCTATTTCAGTTTCTAGACTAGCTTAGTAGTAGTATGCTCATTAGATGAATAAACTACGAAAATTGTCAATCTTCCAAAGCTAGAAATTAGCTTAGTTTAACAACAAACAAAAGGTAATTCACCTTATTTTATGATTGTGTCATCCAGGAAGGGACTTGTATTCCCGCAACTTGCAATTGCTGGTACCGTTTTTTGATAGTCCATCAATCAAATTAGAAAAGATTGAGAAGGTATGTACTGCAAGTTCATAAATAGTATTAAAGAATAAAAAGATGAAACAAAACAAATCCAAAAGAAGACATAGCATTCGCTGAATGCTTAGTGAGAAGTGTTTTGTTCTTTTCATTAGTTCTTGCCCCTTGAAGGAGATATGGAGTGCGTCAGTAATCTGATCTGTTTCATTTCTGTCCTCTTCAGAGAGAAAACTTTGGAGAGAAGATTACTCTAACTTGAGACTTTGCTGATAAAACTGGTTATTCTTTGTTATTTATTTTATTGGGATCACACAGCTCGAACTTTTTACTTGTCATTCAGATATGTGATATGAAAGGGATCACTTACCAAAGTGATTATTCTGAATCTATTGTTGGAGATTGCTAGTAAATTTGCAATAAACTCTTCTTCTTTTCTTAGTTACATCAATAAAGTGAAGTCTATTTACTGATCATCAATACATGGAAACATTTTTAGCTATTTTATTAAGCATAAGCATTTTTCTACTTAAAGGATAGCTAAGTTATCTACCATACAGATGAAGGATAATAGTGGCTAACTCGATGCAATTAAATAACTAAACTTACAATGTAATGGCATGTATTAATCTGCAACTTCCTAAGAATGAATACACCAGGAATTTCTTTCCACCAAGACCTCCATAGCAGTGGCCTTTATAAGCCAGATTATCTTCTAAGTCTGGAAACCCATAACACTGTCTGGAGTTTGATGGTAGCTCCATTCATAATAAGACAGACTATTTTGCTCATAATTCTCATGCTTGAAATGGGATTGTAAATGTGGTGACTGAGAAATGGGAGGACAGACATTACAATTATTGTTTTAAGCCCAAGTAAGATATTGCCACTTTAATCTTTTACAAATCACCCATCAGTATTTGTGTGCTGTTCTCCTATAGTGTTGAATCTACTCGTAAAATCCTTATGAAGTGTTTCTCAAACAGCCAGAGTAACAACAACATACCCAGTGAAATCCCACAAGTGGGGTGTGGGGAGGGTAGAGTGTACACAAAGTAGAATCTACTTATATTTTTATATGTAGTATTTTGACGTTTCCATATGAAATGGGATTTTTCCTAGTTTAGTTGTTAACAAGGTCTACAATTTTGGACCGAGGAACAAATTGTGGTAGCTTGGTTCAGAATGTGAAGGCTCATTGAAACAAACTTCACTGTGGGTACTGGGTAGATTTAGCTTTGAATCATTTTTTGGGTTGGTATTGTACTAGTTATCTTGTATGTTAAACTGCCAAACATATCTTTGACATCATCCTCAGTTCAATTATCCACTCCAAAAGTTGGAGAATACGGACGGTCTGGATGATGATTCCAATTCCACAAGAAAAACACTATGAGGGCATCATAATACCAAATTTGTGGCATTTTTTTTCCGTTTTGAGTCATTTATTGGTGTCCAAGAGCACATCCATTCTTAAATGATTATGAAGTTACTTTTCGGTAATACTTGTCAGTTGTAACATAGTCATTCAAATGTTTCCAAGCATTTTTTATAATTATAGTGATATGTTGTTTATTTAGTGCATTTACAATATTCAATCTTCCTTTCAAATCAGGAACACTTTACTTAATGCCTATCTGCCTGATGTACAGGGTAATGATTCTAATGCAGAGGTCATAGTGGCATACTGGAAACTGAGGTACTTGGTTTTACTCTCAAAATTTGTTAGCTTAAAGGCGAATATTAGTTTACCCGATTGTATTAACTGCTCTCTCGTTCAAAGCATTTGACATTTGTTTCTGTCAATTATGCATAGTTGATCCTGATAAGTGAAATATTTTTGGATGTAAACGAATACCAGAGTTTTCTTAGGATTCTTTTGACTATTCACATGCTGATTTTTCATCTGACTTGTAGAACATCCCTCAAACTTCCGTGGCAGCCTCTCATCTCTGTTGATGGGAAAACGGTCTATGATCTAGATGAACAACTCAAAGTAAGTAGAAAAGATTTTATCTCTACAATTCAAAAACTAGAGCAATGTTCTTCCCTCATTGATATTTCCTATCTCCAAACAGATTGTTAAGCATGTTGAGAGCTGGAACATTTCTGCTCTTGAAGCAGTTGGCCAGATTTTTACGCCTGGTTTGAGGAGCTCTGGTGAGTGAAAATTCTACAGAGCAATGTTCCTTAGCTGATATTCTTTATAGACGACTCGTGAAAAATCAGATTTTTCTATTTGAGCTTCAATAAAGCATGTATACTCTGATCTTAGAACCACCTCTTAGACTCTTACAGTTTACTTCACAGCTCGAGTTGGAAAGACAGTTATATAGGTAATAAACAGGTGAAGTGATTTCTCTTGACATCCATTTATCATAATTACTCATTTCACTGTATATTTATTATGTCAATTTAACTTGCACATCATCTTGCCTCCGAACCGAGATCTCGATTACCCTTCAAAGGCAATTGCAATAGCTTTTCCACCTACATGATTCTGGAATTCTTCAGTCCTCCATTGATACTTTCCTTGTGTAACAATACCATTGTTACTGTGATAAACTATTGCCATCATGCTTTGTCTGTGTGAATTTGATCCTGAAACAATCTTAGATATCTCCTAACATCCTCGCATCCAGCCACGTTTTTCACATGGAACGTATAAACACTTAACTTCTGTCTCGCTCCACTTGCACTCTGTGGTTATAGCCGTTGCCTCGTTTCTTCTCCAAAATGGCTGCTCTTCCATAGTCATTGTTCTTGAATTTGTCAGTGGTAGTTCCACAGAAACTGTTCCTAGTGACTTGGTAAGAACCAATTCAATTGCAGGAGCAAAAATAGGGGGAAATCATAACTAATCTGAGTAACTGAACCAAAAAAAATCAATTACAGGAACTAATAAAATTACAGGTTTCTGTTATTACAATTTAATACTCACAAATAATCTGAGTAACTGAACCAAAAAAAATCAAATTAATCTTCATTAATCCTTCCTCCATGCATACAATAACAAAGAAAATCCCTCATTACTCCCATATGACCTTATAGATGACCATGAACTCCTCCCACATTCACTGTTCTCCTCTGCCCACTGCAACACACTAGAGCACGACGGCGATGGCGACAAAGAGACCGACAGTGGTGTCGACATCGTTCCAGCTGTTGCGGACAAACTTTTCCTCATCAATTTCTTCTCGGCGCCACCCATTTCAGGCCAAACACCACCATCACCTACTTGGAACACAAAAACACCATGTTCATGTCCATGTCCATGCCCAAATTTATGATTGTCACAGTTTTTATTTACCCAATTGAAGACATCCCAAAAAAAGGTTACCTCTACTTGACCAACTAAAATTCTTTCATTTCCCCTAAATTTCCAAGCAAGTCTTTTCACTACAAGACTTGTTTTCCCATCCACTTTCACTTTCAACACTCCACCCCCACATTCTATCACAAATTCATGTTTAACCCCCATAATCCGAGCCCGTGTAGTATAACTCCTCCGTCCAAACACGTGTTCTCTCCTCGACAACAAAGTCAGGTCTCCCGTGCAACATCCCGATACCAGCCTGGCCCGGCCCGTCAATTCCGTCAACATATCACCAAGGAAAAACTCCAGTCTTGCATTGCAAGTAATTGCAATGTAAAAACACCCCTCAGGCTCTGCCGAGTTCTGATTGAACTTGGCAAGTGTGAAGTCCCAATGGACCTTCATCTTCTTACGGTCATGTAATTGGACCGGATGCACGGATTTTGATCCTGGCCGTGCCTTAAATATGGCGAAAGACGATTGATGGAGTGGAATGGTGATGGAGAAAAGATCAGGTGCATGAACTAACAAAGAATGTGAAAACAGGTTCTTGGACCAAGTGAGTGTAAGATAAACAGGTGAACCACAAATCTGAGCTTGGTATATACATGTAACAAGATTTTGAGGCACTTGTGAAGGAGGAGGAAGAGAAGAAGTTTCTGAATCCTCAGAATTATGAGGAATATTAAAACAAGCAGGTATCATATTCTTCATCCTAAACACAACACTAGTACTAAATGTTGGAATCAAGAATTGGAGGAGTTTGGTTTAATGAAGTTAGCCATAATGTTTTGTATATATGAGGTGGGGTTTTATGTTAGAGCTTGATTGGCGCCATTGAAAGAGATAGAAAGCTATATAGATAGATTTTTGCTCTCTTTTTTATGATGAGTATTTATATGTATGTGAGCTGGGAGGCATTAGCAAACTTCAAGACTTTCTTTTTGCTTCAAAGTCACCATAGCAGGTAACACTCACTTGGTTTTTACTTACTTTATCCACTTCTTATTATTTCCAATTTCTTCGTATAACTCCGTCTGTGTTAGCTCATTCACATTCTGAATGAAATTTTTGAGAGGTAGAGATTAATATTAATGTCCAAGTGTTTGTTTAAGCAAGTTAAAATATTTGGAAAAGATGGAAATGTTTTTTCATGAAAAATGACTTTTATTGCATCAAACATATTTGGCTATTAAAAGCACTTGGCAATTGAAAAGTGAATTATAAAAGAGGAGATGGTGCCTTGGGAAAGGGGAGATCCAACTACTCTTGTTGGGGTGTTCCAATTTGGACATATAGGATAAAATAGGGGAGAGTTCAATGCTTCAATTTTCTTTATTATCAAATGGTATGGGGTGACTTAACGAATTTTAAAAATAAATTTATGCGATGTATAGTCAAGGGGCGTAATTGCCTTTAAAGAATTAAATCTCTTTCGTTGAAAAATTATACGCAAAAAAAGGTTCAAAAATAAGAACATTCATATTGTTGCCTTGCCGCTTCTTTTCTTTTTTGTTTCACACCCAATGTCTAGCAACGGACTACCAAGCGGAAGCCAACACAAGAAGCATAAAGCTTAAAACATGTGAAGAAACAGAATGAAATACAAGACAAGAAACCACCCAAGACCTGTCATCAGTCAGTAATCGGGCATCTAACCCAAAGCAAGAGTACAAGGCTTTTACAAATATAAGATAAGTACAGATTGTCTCTGAGTACAATATAAAGACTAATTCTACCCAAAAATAGACGGAACTTCGAACCCTAGGAGTTCACCCTAGTCTCCAAATTCCAAACTGCTCCGCACGACTCCAAATCAACAGCGATATCTAGTATCGCATTGGAGTCCAACTATTTCGGACTCACCGCATAAGATTCCATCAAAAAAAAATTCATACATAAAATTCGAACCTGAAATTTTAGGTTAAGGGAAGAACAACCTCATCCACTGGAGTGGAGCACCACATAAGGTTATACAAGGCTTTTTTTGACTTAGAATTCAAAGAATGACAATCAACTTTTAGCTGTAAATTTACTCGTCTGATTTCAAAGTAATAGGCTGGCGTCCATATTCTTGTTTGATTTGCTTAAATCAAGAAACTAAATTGGGTTTAAAAGTCTACAGTCTAACTTGATGGTAGGACACACAAATTAATATTTGAAGTAATTAACAATTACAGTCTGTCCTCATTTTTTATTCTATTAAAGTATTGAACACTTTTGTTGATTCAACAGAAGAAGAAGAAGAAGAAACAACCTATCCTAATAAACATAATTAATTTAGTCTAATCTAGCTAGAGTCTCAATTTCAAAAAGTGTTTATTTAAATAAAAACAAATTGTATGAAAGAAAAGATTTCCCTTACCCTCATACAACAGCCAGAGTTTTGTTTGTTTGTTTGTTTGTTTCAGTTTCAAATCAAATGTGACCTTTCATTAAAAATTAAAATTAAAATGTGACCTTTCTTTTCAAAGTAATTTTTTGGAAAAAATAGAAGTTAATCTTTATCCATGTTTTGTTTTCCTAGTGTATGATTATAATTTGGAAAAATTATCTGAATACCAAACTTATTTTATCATATTCTCTAAAAAAAATTACTATTTGAAAAAATGACAAAATTCCCTACTCTTTACTATTCTCGGATACATCACTTTACGCGATGTATCGGAATGTTTAGTGTTGTATCTGAAATTGAGATGCGATATATCGAGACGTTGAGGGTCGTATATGAAATTGAGACGCGATGTATCTCGATGTTTTGAAATGTATTCAGATTTCACAATTTTTTGTGATTTAAAAAAGAATATGAATAAAATATAATTAACTCTTAACACTATAAAATTTCTATTAAATTTTCTAATAATTTTGGAGAGCATAGGAGTTGGTAAAATTAAGAACATTCTCCAACATATCAGTGTGATAAAGAGTAATTAAAGGACATTCTGCTGAAAAACGTTCCATTTTGTAACCTTCACGACAGACATTATTATTAACCTTTGAAAAAAATTAGAATTAATTGAACTGTTCTAATATTCTTCCCCCTTTTCATGAAAGTACAATTTAGGAAATATTTTTTTTAAAAATTGAACTGTTCTAATATTCTTCCCTCCTTTTCATGAAATTACAATTTATTAATAACAAAACAATGATAATAAATCCAGTATAATGTCACTGGTAAGGCTTATAGATAGTATGTACGCATATTTTATTCCTAACTTTTATGGAATAGAGATGTTGTTTCAACCTATAGACCCTTGGCTCAAAAGAATTTTAAAAAATATATACGTATATGATTGCAAGAAAAAATTATTACAACAAAATAGCATAAAGTAAATCAAGCAATATAGTAACATTAAAGAATAAGAAATTCCGTGATTACTAAATAATACTACCAAGGCTAGTCACTTTCCTCTTAGACATAAAGTATGACAATACTCGATTACCTACTAATCTTCGATATCCATAGATTTCTATTTAGAGTCATATCCTTCGTAAGTTGAAGTTTTGTGTCATATCATGTCTTTATCTAATCACTTCTCCGAATTCTTCCTATCTCTATCTTTCGAAGAAATTCATATTTATTTCTACTATTTTAGAAAAATTTCTAAAGAACCAAGTATTCTCTATCTCCAATAAAGAAATTTAAATTAGATGTTGGTGATAGGTGAATTCAAACCTTATTCACGAATTGTTTGTGATAGAATTAAAGAATGAAATGTATAGTAAATTAAAAGGGGGATTTATTTCATTTTATTTATTTATTTATCGAATTGTAACAAGAAAATAGTTGAATTAGTGAAGTATTTGTTTATGAACAACTTTCACATATAATAAACATAAAAAATCATATTTGTATGTTATAGATGTAGTTTGTATAATTTGCGCTCCATAACAAACTTTATGTTTGCTATGGGGCATCAGATTGTATAATTCTCTGGCAGGAACTTCAGATTTGTATAATTTCGCTGGCAGGCCATTTGTATAAATTGTTGGCAGCCTCTCGTTTGTATAAATTGCTGGTAGCCTCTCAATTCAATTATATGTGTTTGTATATCTGCATAAAATTTGAATTTGTCTACAATTGAATCGAAATAAAATATTTGTATATCAAATCTCTCTCTCTCGTTTTGGCATATTTTATTCCTAACTTTTATGGAATAGAGATGTTGTTTCAACCTATAGACCCTTGGCTCAAAAGAATTTTAAAAAATATATACGTATATGATTGCAAGAAAAAATTATTACAACAAAATAGCATAAAGTAAATCAAGCAATATAGTAACATTAAAGAATAAGAAATTCCGTGATTACTAAATAATACTACCAAGGCTAGTCACTTTCCTCTTAGACATAAAGTATGACAATACTCGATTACCTACTAATCTTCGATATCCATAGATTTCTATTTAGAGTCATATCCTTCGTAAGTTGAAGTTTTGTGTCATATCATGTCTTTATCTAATCACTTCTCCGAATTCTTCCTATCTCTATCTTTCGAAGAAATTCATATTTATTTCTACTATTTTAGAAAAATTTCTAAAGAACCAAGTATTCTCTATCTCCAATAAAGAAATTTAAATTAGATGTTGGTGATAGGTGAATTCAAACCTTATTCACGAATTGTTTGTGATAGAATTAAAGAATGAAATGTATAGTAAATTAAAAGGGGGATTTATTTCATTTTATTTATTTATTTATCGAATTGTAACAAGAAAATAGTTGAATTAGTGAAGTATTTGTTTATGAACAACTTTCACATATAATAAACATAAAAATCATATTTGTATGTTATAGATGTAGTTTGTATAATTGCGCTCCATAACAAACTTTATGTTTGCTATGGGGCATCAGATTGTATAATTCTCTGGCAGGAACTTCAGATTTGTATAATTTCGCTGGCAGGCCATTTGTATAAATTGTTGGCAGCCTCTCGTTTGTATAAATTGCTGGTAGCCTCTCAATTCAATTATATGTGTTTGTATATCTGCATAAAATTTGAATTTGTCTACAATTGAATCGAAATAAAATATTTGTATATCAAATCTCTCTCTCTCGTTTTGTACAACACAAATTATACATTGTAATTTGTATAATTTGTGTTTGTATAAAGCAAGAAAGAGAGAAAGAGAGAAAGGCAAAAGAGAACTGGACAGGGGAAGATATGTATTTGTATAATTATAAGTGTATAGGACGAAAACATATGTATTCGTATATGTATATACAGTTTTCTCTCGCTTTATACAAACACAAACGCATTTTATACATTTGTGTTTGTATAAAAGCGAGAGAGGCGAGGGAGAGATTGGCAAGTGAGAAACCTAGGGAGAGAGGCAAATGACAACTGTTTGCTACGGGTTTGATTGGTTATAGAATTTAATTTAAATTAATAATTTGCTAATTTATACAATTTTCACTTTGTTTATTGGACCGTATTCATTTTCTGGACTTCATGGGCCCCCAAAATGAAATTACAAGGGCTAGCAAATGCTAAATTCCAACTTAGATTGAGCCTAACCTTTGACAGCCCAGGCCCATATTCAAATTATAAGGGCTAGCAAATGCTAAAGTCCGATTTTAGGTAATTGTAATTTTTTAAATATTTTTTTACCCCTCCATACGAGCTCCCTCCCCTTTTGCTCATTTGATGATGACTCGAACCCACAATCTTAACATTGGAGGTAAAGGATGCTTACCATTCGAGCAACCTCTCTTGTCAGGTAATTGTAATTTCACCAATAATCACCATGATGTAGTTTCGATTTTTTTTTTTTGTTTTTAAGAAGAAAAAAATGACTATAATTATTGTCTTGCTCGAATGATAGAGATGTAAGCATGCATCATTTGACAGATTCAATTTTGTCAACAAATAGGTTATGTGATTCAACAAGTTTGAACAAAAGCAATGAATTTTGTAGAATATACTATAATTGACGTGTTGTATACATTTACTAACTTTTGAAACATATGAAATTGTTTACTTGTAAGTTGAAGCAACCAAACGCACCATCACCAAAAGTTGCATTGGAGTCGTAAATA